TACATGCACGTTGTCTCCGTCTGCTCCATAGGTCAAAAATGTCCCAAGTACAACGTAGAACCTACATCAACTGGTTGGACAACTTCCGGAACCTTGGGACGCCCGGTCCTCTTACTACTGCTGGGGATGGCACTCGCAATAGGTTCCGAAGGATTCGGTTCTTCGTGTTGCAATCCGGTGTACAAAGAAAAGTTCCCGGGGTTTTACATCTCTCCATCCCTCGTTCTCTGTCTGTCTGTGCCTCTGCCTCTGCCTCTGCCTCTGTCTCTGTATCTCTGTATCTCTGTATCTATCTCTCGCTCCCTCCCTTCCTCTCTCTTCCCTCCCTCTTCCCTCCATCTCCCCTTCTCATGACTGCTATGTCGGCACGCGCTAAGCCAACGTTGCTCGCACCTTGCAGACGCACCGCACTCCTCTGGAGGTGCCAAAACTCCCGTTGCGCCTGTTGGAGCGGTTCTGGATCAGGCTGTAGGCGTAGGCCGTCGTCTCGAGAGCACCGTTCGACAGCAAGGAGGCGTTGCCAGCGGGACCACGAGGCAAACGGAGAGCGGAAGTGGCCGTTTTGGCCGCACACACCAACAGCATCTCGTACCTGAAACAAAAACAAAGTGGACCGTCACACCGCAAATTGGAGGAACCCAACGATGGTTCATAGCTCCCACGTAAAGAGTGGACCGGAACCTTCGTAGAATGATATCAACAAGCGGTAGTCGAAGAATCATGACAAAAGCACATCGCCAGTTCGCGGAGCATGGACTGCCTGCCTATCGACCCCGTGACCACTCCGAGAAAGCTTGAACACAGTGGTGTTCCTGTTTCACACGTAGGTAGACCTTGGCCAAATCGCATTATCAACCGACTTTACATCGCTTTCTGACGCCAAGGTGGGGTGCCCTGAAGGGGTAATCTGTTCATTACAAACGCTGAAAGTGAACCTTGAAGGAAGCATAAGTTCGGCGCGTACATGGAGGTACATAAGTCCGTCTGCCAAAAACCGTGCACGTACGTTTCGTTTGCGAACCTTTCGTCTCAAGCGTGAAATCACAGCTGCCGCCTCAGAAATTGAGAGGGCGCGGTGTTTTTCAGGGGTTAGGGTTGGCTTGTCAACGCCTTGTGGGCAGAACAAAATGTTCATCTCAAGGCACGGTGGGATGCGGTGTGTTCAATGGCCGGGCGAGACGAGAAATCCACCGCTACAGCAATGTAGCGCAAGTGTAGGATGTTGCACCCAAGACCCACAAGCTGACCCTCCCTCCAAAAGCACGCAATCACGTAGCACGATCCACTTCGAAAGTAAACATTGGTGTCCTCGACTACGACAAGAGGCGTAGCTCAGCAGCAGCGGCGGCCAAAACACGCATGCGAACAAGTAGAATTGTGCTCCAACGCACAAAAATAACACGGCGCGTGTGTTTTCCAGAAAAAGGCGAAATGCGGTCTGGCGAGCAGGAACAAAACTCACACGTTGAGCAGCACGGTGTTCCTGGAGTTGATCCCGAGGTGCTCCCCCTCGTCGAGCATGAGGGCGTGGCACTTGGGCGACAGGAACCGCTTCATCTTGCCCACCAGGCACGCGCCGGCGCGCCTCGAGTCCACCGTCAACGACTCCGCCACCCCGGCCTTCGAGTACCTGGACGACGGGGCGGGTGGCGATGTCAACGGTCGCGGTGGGCGATGGCGGGAGAGCGGGTGATACCAGCATTCGTAGTACCAACATCAGCGCAACACCCAGAACAAATCAGCGACGGCTTGTATGTCTTTCACCGCTTCAACAGTGGCTTCGAGGCTGTGTTTAGCTCTGTCCCATGAAAATTTTGTGCGCGATGGGCCTATCACATCACAAGGGAGAGGTGGATGAAACCCTACTTCTCCTTCGAGTGTGCCGGCGAACCTTCCACAAGGCGGTAACCCTCCCTTTGAATGAGAGGCTTGCTCTTTCGCGGTTACAACGCCGCAAATGCGCCTGCAGTTAGGGTCCCTGTTTACTGTGCCGGTACACATGTGTCCAGAAGATTTACCCGCACTATACCGGACCGGCACTGTTCCAAAGTACTGACAATGACTTAGAAATTCAGTGTTTGCCCGCCGACAACAACGCCAGTATCCCGGGCATTGACGCTATTCAACCGTCACTAAACAGGAACCCCCATTGTATTGCAAGAGAGCAGTCAAAATGAATCTAGCCAACTCGGCTGTGATCACGTTCTTCCGGCCAGCGTTGGCGGCCTCCGGAACAAGCCGTGGCGTGTGCACTGCTGTGTACCTGGAGTAGTTGGCCATGACTTCGCACGTTCGGGTGTCGAAGCGCACGCCGCACCAGGGGAACATGTCGCCTTCGACCCGTCGTACCTGACACGAGACGGCAGGGTGAACCGCAGCCAACAGACCGCGGGAGATTGTCGCGTACCCCCCTGGTGGTTCACGTTGTGGTTTGTTTCCTCCGCGGGGCCTCGACGGAATGATATCGTGCCATGTACACAGCGTACGGCTGAGAGGGGATGTATCCATCGAACGCGAAACTGCCACGCCGTCGATGCGCGCGTGTGTGCAAGTCACAAGACAGCAATGGAACGAAATCGTCGCCAGCTCAACATTGCTGGTCAGCGTGACATCGGGCTTGGAGACATAACCCCAGCAAAATAAACAAAAAATAGTGGCACCAAACCCAGCAAAACATACAAAAAATATAGTGGCACTTGCAGCGGGATACGCATGTAGGGAGAGTAATCTGAAACAGGAACGTGTTTCTCGTTGGACTCGCAATGCTGGCACTTCGTAGGGTACAAATAATGCCGCGCACTTTCCACTTTCTCTCTCAACAAAGCAGCGCTGGTTCTGGGCTTCGCGTCTACTATTCAAAGGCGACCAGCCTAAACTGAAGCATCCACCTGTCTCCGAACGGACGGTTGTCCTGGCCCGCCTCCTCCCTTTCTGCTCTCCAAGACCATGTCGAAGTTTACCAGCGTCTGGACAGGCGATGACGAGGAAAATAAAAGAACTTTAAACAAAAAACAATGAGGTGCTTACCGGGTGTCAGGTGATGCGCCCCGCACCGAAAAAAGTCATACCCCACTTGGTTCCGAAAATACGAAAATACCCGGGGCGTGCCCCATTGTGTCGATTTCCCCTATGGGAAACAAAAAAGAACTTCCGGCCACTTCCGGCCACCTGGACCCAATAACACCTACGGACTTAAACCAGGTTAGCTAAGGAAGAACCTTAATATCTTCTTCCATCTACGCGAGATGTGAATTTACTGTATCTTTCTCTACCGGTTAGGGTAGTGCGGCAGAGGAGGGTACTGCTTAGGGATCAAAGCGTTCATCAATATGGGGACAACAGCAGCATCAACGACGACGACAACCACAACCCTCGCCGACAATTTTCAAAAGCGCGCGAACTCCTGTCTAAGTTTAGACACGTGGTATAAATATAAACTGGAGAGAATGATCCTCAAGTCAACCGGACAGGGGGCTCATCGCGTCACCTTCGCTTGGTGCACACTAAAGCCCCAGTCTCCCGTCTTGACCTCGTCGTGCATCACCCTTACGAAGGACTCGGCCTTAGCCTTGCTCGTAGAGATCTGGGCGGCCCCGCGAGAGGAAGACGCAATAGAGAGGTTGACGCATCACCTCTCGTAAATATCGCTTGTCACCAAAGGCATTTGTTTTCAAGTATTGGCATGTGTTGTTGAATCCGTCGGCGGTGCTTGCAACTTCAAGTTCAGCAGTTCTTTCCGTCGGTTTTGTGTCACACATGTCATCGCTTTTTTCACAATGTTCTCACGCCAAAGACATTCGAACCCAACACCTAGGAAAGCCAGAAGGCTCCGAGGTTGCACCGTAGCTGACCAACCGGGGCGACCGGCCCGAAACCTAACGATACAATAAGAATACCGCACCCCATCATCACTCACCAGGAGGAAATCGTCCACCTGGCGCAGCAACGTGCAGTCGCCCTCAGGATCGGGAAACGGGCTCTCCCCCCCACTCTCTTCCCTCTCCGCGGGCCCCCTTCCTCGCTGCTCATCGTCACCATTACCACCGAGTCTGCAGCGCTCGCCCCTATGCGGTCCGCCCACGGGCCCGTACGAGCCATGTCCTCTTCCGTTTTGGTTAGCGGTGTTCCGGCATGACTGCTGTTGTGGCGTTTCGTGTGGCCCACGGTTGCCGTCACTGCCGCCGCCGCCGCGGCCGTTCGGAACCCCAAGCACGCCCCCGCGTGACGCTCGATCGGAGTCCGGTGCAGCGGCGTCGCCCAAGCGGGAACAAGCGGGTGAAATGCGGGCGAACTTCGGCGGTCTTTCACCTTCTTGTTCTCGTTCTCGTTCTCGTTCTCGTCCTCGTTCTCGTTCTCGTTCTCGTTCTCGCTCACCCGGCCTACCGCGCTTCCCTCCCGCGGGGGGGGCGAATGAAGAGGTAGCGCCTTCGCCTTGACTACCACTACCGCCACCAATACCGTCGCTGCGACGCTCGAGCCCAACCGCTCTCGCCGACAGTCCTCGCGCTCCGCCGCCGCCGGGCGGGCGGTGGGGCCGCTCCGGGACGCCGCCGTCGAGAACGTCGCCCAGGAGGCGCTTTTCGATGTGGCCAAAGAAGAAGTAGTTGCACAGGAGGCCCGAGAGCACCGAGCCTTGCGGGATGCCCACAGCCTGAGACAGGAGGGCGTCCATAGGCATGTTTTCGAGTTGGAATGGGCGGTCGTGAAAGGTTGTGAGGTATGCAGGAAATGGGAAGCCCGGCACTTGCTTCGTGGAAGGGCACACGGGGAACCGTATCGGGGTGTAGGGTACTGTGGAATAGGGCTGCCGCGGGGACGCCGAGTGTTAGAAATGGGAAGGCGGACGTGAATGCTGAGAGGGCAGCTGTAACGACGGAAGAGCGGGCGCTCGCTTCCGAACTAATCGGCTACAGTTATCGCCAGCACAGCAGCAGACTTCACAAGGATACGGCGAAAAACAAACAACTGCACGGTCGTTCCCGGAAGCGGGGGCAGGGGGAGAGGCGACATTTCTCTTCACCTTCCCACCACCGAAAGGGTGTTTATACAGAAGAAGCTTGAAGTTTTGTGCCCCCTCTCCGAAAGAATGCCCTCCTCGAGCACTCCCAGTGATGCATGCTCAGGCAGGGGAGGCGATCGCTCAAGAATACAAAGCAGGACCCAAAGAACCACACCTGTTGGAAGTAAGCACCCTTCCCAGAGCCGCCTGCAGCCGGCACCCGGACGACGTTGTTCTTGATGTGGTCCTCGACCATGTCCAGGACACCATTTTCTACCACACAAAAAACAAGACAGTGAAAAACAACAGAACTGTGTTCGTTTGTCGGGGGAGCGAAGGGACTCTTTCTGCCGTATCTACTGACTTGCCCGCCTAAACAAAAGAGTGGTCCCTGTAGTACAAGGCCTCATATTGCCGGGGGATTTGGCCCGGCTCCCGGCACTATTCAGAGTATGAGGCAACATGAGTATTCCATCTGTGTCACACGACTTCACCAGGGCGACCGGCCTTGCGTGTTTTTCGGCTTTACGCACGGGTCACCGCTGTCACATCATAGTGAGTGAAACCACGACGATGCAGCAGCAGCAGCAGCAGCAGCAGCAGCAGCAGTCTAAAAGTGCAGTCAGAGAAGCTGAAAAGAGACGTGGAACGATCGCCTGCTTTCTATGGTACCATCTCGACCTAGACATTGACATAAAACACCCACGAATCGGGCGGATCACTTCGTACCTTTGAAGAGGATTGGAACCGACGGAACGACGACCTTACTCGAGCAAACATCAAAATGAGAATACCAGATAGGCGTATGCGAGGTAATCGAACGTACTGCAGCGTGAGAAAACACGGCAGGAATTGTAACCGCGAATCCATCCTCCACCAGTACCTGTTCACGATGCCGTAGACGACTTGGTCGGTGAAGATAGTGTCGACGCTCTCGTCCGCCAACTTCTCACTGCAGGTCTGAAACTGCACCAGGTCCTCCATCGCGACCGCCTCCTTAACGTGGTTCACCTGAGAACCAGTGTATGCAATACCCATCCTCTCATGAGAAACCAGACATCATCGGGTTCAGCCCCGACTTTGACGCCTAGGTCAGAAGTATTTGTTTTACACAAACAAGATCATCGCCTCACCACACCAACGACACCAGCAACAACAACCCCGAGCATCATCTGCTACGTGGTACTCAGTTTGGCACTCGCCGCCGAGCCTTGACGGGAATGTTCCCCAGATGTTTAACAATCGCAGCCCGCCTCTCTGTCGAACCCACTTTGTTATCGTCATTGACTAATAGAGGGCTGCCCTGCTGCGTTTGGCGCATAGCTCCCCGAAACGCGCATGGTTGCGCCGCATTTGTTCCGGCCTTCCATCGATACATCTTGCCCGTTTCCTTCCTCTCGCCTCAGACTCAAACCCGCCTTGCTGTTCGTGTGGCTAAGAAGTGATTTCGATTTCATGGCAGGTTTCTGTAGTTATCCTCTGTTCTTGCCTGTACTCTTCCCATGGCCTTGAAGGGGTGTGACTTGGTGTACTTTTGAACCACGTAGTCCTCCGACGTTACTAGGGGCCGGACAACGTCCATCAGTCGAGCTGTCATCACACGAGACAGGCGTAGAGGCACAGAAAAGAGACAGAGTAAGGCAAGTCAGACAGACAGGTCAGACAGAGACAGAGAGAACGCGCACACAAACAACGCGAAATAATTGTAACAATGCCCCCGTTGGTTTTTTGGGTTCTTGGGTCTGATAACGTTGCTATTGTTGCTCCTATCCCAATCTGTATATGGGAATGTGCGCTCCACCAAACAATGCGAGGCCTGACTCTCGTTCGGCCAATCAGAACACAAGGTTTTGATTCGTCTCAAGCCCCGGTATCGAACAGATTAGCACAAAACACACCTGGTCCACGGTGTCGTAGCAGTGCTTGATATCAACGGACGCAAAGTACAGAGGGGGCAACACATGCCCATTTCCGCCGCCCCTACCCCCCACCCCCCTTCGCCCACAACAACGACGGTGCCCCCAGCCATCACCATCTTTTTCTTCAGCGGGCGGACGCCGCTGCTGCTGCTGCTGCTGCTGCGGCGGCGGCTGCGGCTGCGGCTGCCGCCAACGTCGCTGCTGCCCGAACAGCAGCGGCGACGAGGAGGAGGTGGATGAGGCCCAGAAGATCGGGCGGAGGTTTCGACACACGAAAGGCTTTACCCGGGCAAAGACGTCGTCCAGCCCGAACACCCCCGCCCCCACCAAGGAGGGATTCTTGACGTACTCGTTCTTCAGGACCTGTGGTGGTAGTCGTGTTGGTTGGGACAAGGCCAAGGCCAGCGTTGGCGGCGGGGGAAACCGGTGGGCGGTCGCGAGCGGAGCAAGGAAGGTGTGTGAATCGATTAAGGCTAACTGCTACACAAGAGAAAAACAGGGAGCCCGGGCACAGCAGGGATGGATACTGTCGGCGGAAGTGGCGGCCAAGGTTAGCGTTGGCTACAGTTGGAGGGGGTGCGATCGACGAAATATTGCGTGATGAATTACTAGGGAATAGGCGTTGGGAGAGGAGAGGGGTGCTGGCGACGCGGTTACAGGTTCTTTTTTAGGGGGGAGACCTTCTTGGCGTACACAGATGCGGGTCCTTTTTCAGACCTGCTGCTCTCGTGTTGCCCTAGGCTGCCACGAAAGAAGGCAACACCGAGCGAAGGTCGATTGACAAAAACAATAATGGCTTATGTTGTCGCCGTCTTAGTCCGAGCCCACACGCAACAATAGGACAGGCAAGCTGTGCACGGTGGCAGTGGGGGAAATATGGCTTTTCTTCTCGTCGGCCGCAACGCTGAATACGTCCGAAAGCGTCACGTCGGGTGCAGGTGTACAAAGATGTACAAAGAGGACCCAAAATCACCAGTACACTGACAGGAGAGCATTGCAAACCAGCTTCGAACGGCGCAGATGCGGCTCCGCTCAAACTCACATGGAAAGCGTTGGACAGCTGCATGTTGGTGGAGGGCAGGAGGGTACTGCTGCCGCTCCTGTCCCCCCCGCCGCCTCCTCGACCGCCCCCCCACCCTCCTCTGTCCCCGCGAGACCCCCTTCCCCCTCTCCTTGACCCTAGCCCAGCAGCCTCGCTTCCCAGGCGACCACCTCCCACCCTCGGAGTCTCCTTAGCACCAGCCCCTGCCCCGCCGGAGGATGCGGACGCGTTGCTCGTCGCGCGTTCCAGATTGGAAACCCTTCGTGGCGCCTGCATACGGGGAGGGGGTCGGTCGCGCGAGACAGTCGGGCGCTAGGTTGGCCCTCTCCTCGGTGTGTATCTCAATGGATAATGGTTCTGGACGTTTTGTTTGCGGTGTTGACGTTACTCACCAGGGCCGTTGTTGTTATTGACGCCGCTAGTGTCGCGAAAAAGGAAGCTAGTGATGCCGTTCCACCAAGACGAGCATCTAGGCAACTCCACACGAAACTAATACTGAATTCTTCGACAACAACGAGGTCACCGCCGTGTTTACACGAAGGGGCAACGACAGAATTCAACTGCACGGGACGAGGTACCTGGTGTGGTCGACTACAAA